CTCATCGGCCTCGCAGCCGCCTTTGTGCAGTCCGGTCTCCTCCACGGTTGCGGCAGCTTCACGGCCGTGCCCCGCACGACGGTCTGGTACCCCATGGTCTTCTTCGCGCTCGCCGGCCTGGGCGTCGCCGTGCAGCGCGCCGCATGCAGGGCGCTGGCTCCGTGGATCTCGGGCTTGCCTCGTTCAGTGCGACGCGCGGGGAATCTGGCTTTCGTGGTGCTGTGGCTCCACGCCACCGTCTGGCCTGTGGCCGAAGATTTTGCCATGTCAGGTGTGTGGCTTTTTGAGCCAGCGCCCGTGTCATTTGTCAGGCTGCTCGGGGGCGGGCAGGTCGATCACGCCGTCTGGAGAATCGACTGGGATGCGTGCCCGCATTGGATCAAGGGGAGGCATTGGTGGCAGAGCGGCTTTGGGGGTTGAGTTTTTCTGGGGGGAGACACTTGAAGAAATCAGACTAGATCATTAGATTTATGGTAGAAATAGCAGCACCCGGAACATGAGCGACAAATGATTACATGATCACCCAGCCCCAATGACTTCACTCTGCGGCTTGCAGCTGAAGCCGGACCTCTTCGAGCGCTTTCTAGCAGATCTGTGGATTATCACGTCGAGCGGCTATTCCAGGTACTCGGCACTGTCGGTCAGGCTTCCGTGTCTCAGCGTTACCGCTATAAGCAGCTCGGCGGCAGAGATACGTCCGCCGTCCGATCGGTCAGCGTTGCCTGTCGCGGCCGACCTTAGTTCCGCCATGGACATCCGAGATTGACTTGTCGGCCGTTCAAGCTGGGTATGTACTCAAGGTACCATCGCCTTGTGTTAAACAACAAAGAAAAGAAATCCCTGGGTCATATGCTCCGCCCCGGAGAGCACAAAAAAAAATTGAATTGGCGTCGGCGTCGGCCTCCCGCGAACATGTCGCGGAGCCGTGCACTTTCGGGAAGGCGGGTCTGCCCACCGGCAGACGCTGGCGCGTCAAGACCAACGTCATGCATGTGATGCTCAGAAAGTGAGGACGAGGCGATCAGGCAATCGGCCATGTCGGGCTCGGCGAGCACCTCTTCTTTCATCGCATTGTTCTCTCGTGGCGACCAAAATACTGGTTCCTGGGGCTGGATCCCAGATATGCGCGCGCGGGTTTACATGGGTTTAACGAATTGGACATATACGGAGGAAGAGCCCAATCGAATCGACATGTGTCTCGTATGTGATCGAGGTGATGCACCTTTGGACCTACGCAATCGTCAGCATGGGTTATGACCAAGGCCGTGCCAACTCGACTCAGGGACCACAGGCTCGATGGGACAGTACACTGACCCCGGAAAAGCGAAGGCAGTTGCAAGATGTAGCGTGCAGGAACCTGAAAACAGCATCTCGCGGCTGCCAGTGGTGGGCATGGAGGCCAGGCGAGCACTTGACGTCACACCTAGTCCGGGATGTCACCTCGAGCAGATGCTTCTCAAAGCCTCATGACCATGACCGAAGGATGGCGGTCATATCAATCGTTTGGCCCGAGCCAGGATCGGGGGATCGAAGTCGCTGTCGTGCTGCGCTGGGTGCTACTCACACGGAGATGATGGCCGACAGAGCAAAGTGCGGCGAAGCTTGGTAGAGGGACTGCATGAATGGCCCAAAAAGGCCGATGGAACTCTCCATCGCGATGGTTTGCGAAATCTCGATCTCGACTTTCAGTGTAGACCAGCGCCTTGCCCTGTGCACTCGCAAGAACCCAGAAAGTCAACCGTATGAGGCCCCTGTAGGGGCCTGGGGATACGTCACTGGCAATGTCAAACAATGGCGGACCACACCTGAGGGCCTGCGTTCCTTCGATTTGGACTGAACCGTCGGGTTCACCGGACGTTGCAGGTCTATGCCTTGTTGAGCTACGGTCCGGCTGAGCCTACTACTCATACTCAATGAAGCTTGCCTGCGCTGCGAATGTAAAGGACGACCCAGCCAGGTCAAGCTGGAGGTAATCATGAGAGACATGCCATCTGTCAGGTTGATGGTGAAACAAGGCATTGGAATGCTGCGATAAGTATTGGCGGGGTACGCAGCCGTAGATAGTAACATGCTGGCGTACCACTTCCTGCTCCGTTACGGAGCGATTGAAAATCAGGGACAAAGCAGCAGCCGTTTGTGATGGACGTTAAAGACGGCTGTTCTAGCGCCTTGAACACCCGAGACACTGTGGATCACTCCAAACCAACCACAACTCTCGTGGCATTCGTAGCGCGTGATAATTGGCCAGAGGCTCATGCAGGCAATCTAACGCCAAAATCGCGTCAGGGCCGCGATGAGACGCGTTTGACGCGTCCGCGTCGCGCGTCCGCCAACGTCATCCACCTTGTCGGATGCCCGACAGCGCCCGTGGCCAGGGAGAGAAAGAAGGTGCGTCGCAAGACAGACCTAGACAGTGCGTCAAGGTACTATGAGCGAGTTGGACCACGTTTCCTAGCTGCACTTCTCCGCTGAAGGGCCCTGCTCATTGCTTTTTGTCCGCTTCTTTCGCATCAAGTGCAAATTCGTCGCGTCAATGGTGCCGATAGGTACCCGCGATCTACTACTGCAATGACCGGCAGGCGAGACATGTCGGCGTGCTACTTTCGGCGCGTAGAAGCCTGCGAGTCCGAAGCAGAATACCACGGCGCTGCAGGTAGACCCAAGCATGAGCGAAATACTACGCAGGGCTGCAAGGTGTGAAGAGGGGTTGCCTGTGTCCCGCAGACTTCATGCGAACCTGCCCATTTCCCCACCTAAGACAGAAGTCGACAAAGGTAGAAGTCGAGAACATCGTTACACCGCCCCTCTACAGTATTGGATTTGGGGCCCCTCATCGTCAGACGACTGCTGGCCCTGCGTCGGACGAGCGGTAGTGCCCCTCCGGCCCCGGATCATGTGCGCCACGACCGCGGCGGTAGTCGCGCGGGAGATGACCGGCCCCAGAAAGACGTTGAACAGATCTGGGAATTTGCCCTGGATCGGCGTTCGTGGGTGTCGTTCGTTGTTCGAAGGGAGAGAGAGTGAGTCGTGTGGTGAGTGTGGTCGCCGCGGTCTACACACTCCAAGGCGCCGCGAAGTGGTGTGCAAGCTCCATAATGACGGCAGGCGAGGGGCGCTTACCAATGAGCGAGGGCTGAGACAGAAAAGGCCTGCGGCTGCACATTGCGTTTACGTCTAAGTGCTTGCATCGGGCGCTCGATCGGGCCCCTCTCTTGGTCTCCCTGGCCCTGGCTGCCTCGTGGCGGGCAGACAGAAGCTGGTTCGATACAGTCCAATAGTGCCCGTCGCGGAGTGGGACCTGAGGTTGTTGCTCCGAGAGACGAGCGAGAGGGACAGTCACGATTGTAGTCCTGGCTTTGGTGTCACCAGGCCCTCCAAGTCGATCAATTGTTCGATTCCATCAGGGTATCCGCCGTGCGAAATGCTGCCGACGTTGCCGCGCCTCACTAGTCGTGCATCATGGCGCAGATGCAGCAAACCTTTCGCGCTTCAGGGCTGGACACTGAGTTGCTCGTCACAGAGTGCTGGCCTAGACGGGCCGTAAGCTTTTAGACATGTGGACAAAAAAAAAGGGACTATCTAAATAGAGGCAACAGTCGTTGCGCGACGAGTCAGATTGTCAGGAGGTCGTGATGGTCTGGCTACCGAGCAAGCGCAGATGGCCTGTTCCGGCGGATGAGTGGAGGCCGATCTGAACTTGCGACTGTGAGGTGCATGTGCATGTGGAAGGAAGGGAGGGAGCGAGCCGTACCCTTAGTACAGGGCGGTGCGGCGGCAGCCCCCCTAGTGTAGGGGTTATCGGTATCAACCGGTGTATGGTCTGCAGTTAGTTCGGAGGGGCAACGTAGGAGGAGGGGTAGAGGAGAGGGGGAGGGGAGCAGTACAACATGACTGACATGTCTGTCGATCTCGCGATCTGGCAGCGGATGAGAGAAGATCAGCTCGAGGATGTCAAGTGCGAGTGGGGTGAAGAGGGAGACAAACTACTGGGAAAGGGTGAAGCTGAGGGCGATGCTCAGGGAGAAGGGTGCATCGAAAAGAGGTATCGTCAACCCTTCGTCTCCCTCCACATTGTCTCGGATGACCTGCTGCTCGGCCAGAAGCAAAGTGCCTCTCAGCTTGCGTGGTTGTTGCATGAACTGATGGCCAGGACAAAGACAGAACAGTCACGGACCAGAGGGGGAGAGTGCTGAGGGAAGCGGGGGCGGCAAAAGCAAGGTGAGCACTTGGCGACCCTGGCGAAGATCGATATCGCGCTCCCTTACAGACAACCGGGGGCGCCTGAAGGAGGTTTGGCTGTTTCGGGCCCTTTCATCGAGCTGTAGCAAGGGCATTGTGGGTGGGGGGGAAGAAGCGCGAGTGAGCTAAGACAGTGAAGCCCGGACTTGTACCTGTCCAGACCACGAGGAAGGTCCAGATGTAGTTCATGCGTCGCGGTCAGGTACCCCAGGCTGCAAGGACGATGCCGCTCAGAGTAGTCGCGACCAAAGACATGAGGGAGGGCAGGCGCGACGCACTGTGGCTCACTGTACCTGATCAGACCAGGTCTTCGGGCCGACCAATCAGATACCCCAAGGCGACCCACCTTCCATTGCCGGTTGAGCGACGGGATCTGCCTGCCAACTTGTGACCTTGGGCCTGGGCAGACCTTAACTACAGGCCCCCGTAACCGCCCACCTGCCATTCCGACCCTCACTTCTCCCTCCTTCAACCCACCCACGCCTGCCAGTTCTGCCGCATCCGTCAACACTTCAAATCATCACCCATTCCACCGCATCCGGCACAAAAGAGACCAACTCCAACAACACTGCACCATTAAAGAGAGCGCTTCATCGTCTTCGAAACGTCTTGCTTCAGGCTATTCACCAACCGCACACTACTTCATTCGAACCCGGCGCATTCAATCTCATCGTCGCAAACCAGTCGCAAACCAGTCGCATCCCGCCACGAGCGCCCATCACCAACCTCTTCCACCACCAACTCAACCAGAACCACCCACCATGCTGATGCCCTCAGCCTTCTCGTGCGATGCGTCGCAGCAGCACTACCAGTCATATCCTCACACTCGCCTGCAGTCGGCCCTCTTCGCCTCGCCGCCCGCCAGCCCCCCTACCCTTGCCTCCGCGCCCGCCATTGGCAACATCTTCAACACCTGCCGCTCGCTGCAGTCTCTCCTCACAACACCACCACCACCAGAGCGCGCGCAATTGACGCAGCTGCCCACACCGCCCATGGCTCACGCGCCATCGCCTATCAAGCTCCGTCTGCGCCCTCGCGCGCCAAGGCCCGACAACTCCTCTGCCCCCGACTCCCGCCCTCGCAAGAAGATTGTGAAGCGCGCGCCGCCCCGGGGCGCAAACAAGCGCCGTCGCGGTGCTGATGACGACCTTGGTCGCATGGACCTCACCAGCGACGATGACAGCGATAACCAAATTGAAGCCGACAGCGAGAGCGACGCCGACGTCCCCGCCATGCCTGCCGCTCCCTCTACGCCGAAGCGCGCGCGCATCGCTCCCGAGGTCATCCCCCTCGGCCTCGCCCGTACCGACTACCACAACCTGCACGCCGCGTCAGATACAAACCGGCCCCTCCTGAACCTGGCGCAAGGCAGCGGCGTCGAGGTGGAGCGTGATGGCGAGCACTGGAGCACCGAGGATGATCGCATTCTCGTGGAACTCGTCCTCGAGAAGCTTCGTCTCAGCAAGACAGAATGGCAAGACTGCGCGCGCAGCCTGGGCAAGGACCGCAACAGCCTATCGCGCAGGTGGCGGAGCCTTATGGCCCAGGGCGATGTCGGACTCAAGCCTACGCGCGCAAGTCGACGAGGCAAGCTCCATGGAACGTGGTGAGCGCACTTGTCGCACTTTCTATCTATTGTATAATCTTCGGGCGCATGTGCCCATTTTTGTGTGTTTAAGCATGGCTGTGGATTTGGCGTTTACATGGAGATATATGGCCCCTCGAGGCTTGGATTGGTCCTGCATTGGGTCTGACATCGCGCCAGATGCGCTTGATTTTGGGAGGCTGCTAGAGAACCAGAACGTTGCGCGAACAATGCGACGCGAATTGAATCATCAACTTGATATCACTCATTGGCCCTTGCCTCACTGACCTGTGACTTAAATTGCTGTTCTTTACATCTTCATGTGCAAAGCACGACGCGCGGTTTCACCTTGCGATCGACAACCTCAGCAATTGTCTGTCGCACCTGGATGACCTCTATGAGCCAGCATCGACGCGATGCGACGCAATTGCGACAGGCACTAGATAATCGCCCAGTCAACAACCCTCATGCCCCCCTTTCCCCCCCTCTCTCGGGGTCCCTCGTCGCGGGAATTTTCAGGGTCCCCCCTCTGACCCCGAAACCCAGCGTCCAGGCTGGCACAAGGAGGGGGAAAAACCCAGTGGCCGGTTGTGCGAGGCCTTTGCACAAAACGAAGTGGCTGGGGTTCTGAGACACAGATTTCGTTTCCGTTTCCGCAAACGGGGGCGGGCGCGAGGAAAGAAACTCTTTACTGGATATCTCCCAAACGGTGCACAGGCCCCTCCCAGGTGCCCCAGCGGACCCAGCCACTGCACAGAATTCCAGCACAAGGCCCTTGTCTGCACAAGCAGTGAGCCGCCCCTCAATTCAAACAGACCAGCATCTGGATTCGGCTGCTTCCCACTGTGCCGCACCTGGCATTCCTTCTGTGCCTGAGACCCGAGACAAACAGGAGAATTCTGCACACCAGAAGGACTGGCGAGAACGTGGCCGCGAACGGCGCTGCCCATGTGCCGTATGGGAAGAAAGGATGGATGTCCCCTGGAGGGGGGGAGCGCTGGAATGCTCACCGTCCAGTGGGCGGTGCATCCCCTTGGCGCGCTCGGGCCGTGCCTGCGGCGGGGGACGGGTAGAGGGTTCGGAAAGGGCTCACTTTCTCATATGCCGGCTAGCTGGCATGGACGGCTTTCCAGGCTGAGCCTGGCTCCCGTTCTGGCGCAAACTCTGCTCATTGACTTTGGGATTGCAGTGGAAGACACCATCATGGGAATGGGCGCTGAAGCACAGGCACTGGTGCAAACCTTGTTCCTGTCAAGACGCGGCACTTGGGCATGCCTTGCTGTCACGTATCAATCAACTTGGCGGCAGTGACCCAACAAGCGAATCGCTGAGGTGGCTAGCCTTTCCGCGTTCACCAATCGGGGACGGCGTTGTCACTGAACTTTCCAATCCTTCGATTACTTGTTGTAGGAAACGAGCTCTCCGATGCCGCACTGTATGTTGCTTCATGTCTAAGTCGTCGGCGTATTGGTTGGGCTTCAGGTGCCCCGTCTGCATGCTTTCACCAACGGTAATACTGACCAAACAACCACCTCGAACCTTGAATAAACGGAAACGTCTTGAAAATAATCATATCGTAACAGCCCATCAGGTCCCAGAATATCAATGCCTAGAAAGTGCATTGTAGGTTTTGCATCTGTGTGTTGCGCCTCGATACTCTCGAGAAAACTGTCATTTGATGTGGGGATCCAGTGTGCCTACCATCCTTCTCGTTGCTATTCCAAGAACTCGCTCAAGAATCTGTGGCCCATCCGTGGGCCACCGGGAATAACTTTCTTCCTTGACGTTGATGACGGACCTGGCATCTAATTCTCTCAGGGCCCGCGATCTCAGACAGCTTAGCAGCCGAGTTCTTTCCATCGTCTGTCTACCTGAATGCATTTGAGAGACTGGTGCTACTAGTTTTCGAGCTGAGGATCCCCTTTGTTAGGGGTTGTCACCTCGAAGACCTTTCTAGTCCACTGCTTCTCGTCCTGGTGCTAGTTTAGCAGGCACAGCTGTTAGGACGGGTGCCTCCTCTCGGCTCTAAAGCCTCTGGAGCGAACGCGTGGACACTGTCAATCGTGGGAAGGTCAAGCCACGGATGGCATTAGGTGGCTCGAGGCTTTCGACTTCAGGCACGGGGCCACGTAAGAGTCGAATACTCGAAAGACCTCATTGACAGAGAGTGACATATCCAGAATGACCACTTCTCATCATGACTGCGACTGCTAAATCCAGTCACCGATCACGGGCAAACTAGGGTCAATTTGGGAAGAATTGTGGTCATAACTCTAGGTTGTATTACGGACATTCATACTGTCTCGCATTAGTCGGGATCACAGATAGTCTTGAGCTAATATCACTGCGCTTAAGAGAATGGATTTGCGTTTCAGTCTTAGTTCGATAATGTTATGAGCAGTATCTTCGTCTCAAACGATCAATAACCAGCATTCATGTATCATTCAGCGTCGCTGTCGTCAAAAAGCAAGGTCTCCAAGTCAACATATCAAAATCGGAGCAACGAGCTCAGTCATCTTCATCACCACCGTAATGTTCCTCGTAAGCCTCCTCATAAGCCTCACGTGCCTCCTCAGCAGCCTCATGATCGCTGCTACTGGCGTCCGAGTCGGCGGCGGCGGCCAGAGCCTCTTCATACTCGGCACGGGCATCAGCAACCTCCTCGCGATCACTAGAATCGACAGAGTTTCCGTCGGCATCCGTGGCGCCAAGAACAGGGGGAGGGCCGTCCTCAAAGGCGGGCTCATCAGCCTGAGGGGGCGGTGCGTAGTAGTTCTGCTCGGGAGGCGGGGCGTAGTAGGCTTGCTCCGGAGGGGGCGCGGCGGCCGCAGCAGCCTGCTGCTGTTGAGCCTCGTCATCCGAGTCATCTTCACGCAAGTTAGCAACAGGCTCTCCATCTAACGCAGGGAATTTGACTCACTCATGGCATTAGCAATCAGAGCACCGCCGACGGCGCCGACAGCGAGTCCACCGGCTGCACCTAGGAGCATGCCACTGCTACTCTTCTTTTGCTCGGTGCCGTGACCATTGTAGGGGTCGCTCCCGTAGGCACGAGACTGGTCGTGACCGGGCTGGCCGTAACCAGGCTGGCCGTAACTGGGCTGACCATAGGGCGAAGGGGCTCCATAGCCGCCTGGTTGGCCGTAAGGAGAAGGAGCTCCATAACCTCCAGGGGCCGGGGAATCGTAGCCCGAGCCGGGGGTAGGCTGCTGCCCGTAGTAGCTACCACCGTGACCACCAGGGGCGGGAGAACCGAACGCTCTAGTGCTGGAATGCTCTTCGCCTGGGCGGGGGCCAACCGGAGGTGCTGAAGGCGGAGGCGGAGCAGGGTGCTCCCATTGCGAGCGGCCCGTATTGTGGTCAACGTAAAACCAACGCTGGTACTGGGCGTTCCACTGGGCAACCCAGCCGGGAGGCACGGAGGGCGCAGCCATGGGAGGTGGGCCGTCGGGAGCCGGAGCGGGGGAGGGCTGGGACTCGGAAGCGGGGTTCGGGGCGTAGCTGCCGTGGCCGTTGCTGTAGCCGGAATCGGTATGTTGGGGCTGTGCAGCCTGAGAGGGGTAGTAGCTGCGAGTATCTGTGAAAGCGGATTGGAGGACCACCGCACGATGCGGCGAACCCCCAGCGGACGTCAGCAAGTCTATTCGAACGACAATACGGCGGTAGAGCGGCAAACGGCGGTCTATCAATCGAAACGAGACAAAAGTACGCTCAGTGCCCTGTGTACGTCCCCGGTGCTCGTGTGGGGATGATGAGCAGCTTCTGCCAAGCAGTAGTCTGCCCCATCGCGAGGGACATCGACCCAACAGACCGAGGCGGATGCTTCTACTGATAGGAAAGAAAGACGAGGAAACAGTAAAATCTCAAGAAATATAAACAAGCTCAAGGCAGTAGCAGATAGGCTAAGGAGCACACAGGTGGGAATGATGAGAGATGCTTGTCTTGGGGCGAGGCACGTACCACTGGACTGGTGCTGAGGAGCGGGTGACTCTTCGGGCTTCTTCTCGTCCTTCTTGTCATCGGAAAAAGAGGTCTTGAGGTCCTCAAACTCCTTGGTGAGCTTCTTGAAGAAAGACATGTTTGGGACTGGTGTCTAAGATCTTGGCTCTTTGCCTAGGTTGCAAAAGTTGTCGATGAGGGTCAAGTCTTGGTCCGGGTGTGTCGGTGAGAGACTTGGAGGGCTTGGGTGCTTGTACGTATGCTTGAATGCAACCTGGTTGAATGCGGGAAGTCCCGAGGTGACGACTGAAGTCTCACTAGACAGTCGAACGAACGCGGGGTTTGCTGGCCTTACGTAGAGCTCACAGCAGATGTGCTTCGGTTGCGATGGGAGCCGAGAAAGAAATCCTGGGGAAACGGCTTTGGAATCTTAGGAATGCCGAGCTTCAGACCAGACAAAGGGTGAGGGAATTCTGATTTTTGTAGCCGAGCAGCAGGAGAAAACAATGCGAGCAGAATTGGGAGGCAGCCGAGAGATTCGATCGCACAAGAGGCCACAAGGTGGGAGGGTAGGAGGGCAGGAAGGGGCGGGCAATTTGCAGTGGCAGGACCCCTCTTGCTACTTTGGGCAGATGACGAGGGGCGGCAGCGAAAACTGGTGTGCGAGGCAGAGATTCTAAATGAGGGGTTCAACCCACGCAGCAAAAGATCCCCATGTTCGGGTAAGAGTTGCATATTGGTGGTAGTCGTGACTGCCCTCCATGACATGCTGCTCATGCCATTTACTCATGCCACGCTGCTGCTGCTACTGCTGCTGCTGCCGCTGGATGTTGCTGTCCGCGCCAAGCCTGGCCCTGTGCTGCAGGTGTGATTCACTGGCACCCATCCAATTCATCCCACCCCAGTACCACTCAGACATCCTTCCCTATCTTGCTTCCTACCAGTACCTTACTGTATGCACATCATGTGTGCTCTCGAGGCGCATTCGCCATCAGAATCGTACCGGCAGGTAAAGCGAATCTCATCATGAGCAACGTGGCTTGTCGTCCTTGATTGACTGCCTCTGGCTGCCTCCCGCCGCCTCCCGCCGAAGCCCCCCTGCGACCTCCATCCACCGCAGGAATGAGAGTATGGTCCGCCATCAAGTCGCATCCCGGGGCCAAGACTTTGACTAACGACATCTTGCTTTTGAACCGAATGTCCGAGTTACATGCCGAAATTGAAACTCCCCAAGCATTTGCCAGCTCAACCTGACCTGGCACATGAACACTACTGGCGGGCACTAGCAACCGCCCGCCGTCCCATCGCTCCCTCCCGTCTTCCCGCGTGCTGCTCTCAAACACGTTGATCAAGCGACCGCCGAATGCAAAGCGTGAAGCGACCACCAGACGACGAAACAACCAAGGAACCTAGGTAGCCTGTCAGCAACGCCCAGCAAGGCGCGACGGAGCACTGCAATGGGCCCTGGAGCTTGGAACCCCCGGCTGGTGGAGCCTTGAGGCTCTGGGCATCGCTTCAGGCGAGCTTTCCATTTGCTACGATACCCCTGCATCGTAGGCTGCCGAGTGTACTGGCGGCAGACAATCTAACGCTTTTGGTAGTGTACACGTACGCCTGCCAAGACGACTGCCGGCAACCCTTTCCACCGGTCCTACCGCTGGACCCTGAGAAAAAGACCCCCCAAGGCCGAACAGTAACCACTGACGCGCCATACCGAGTCATCCATGTCGGCCCTGTGACTCGCCAGTGGTGTGAAGAGCACCCTTTTCAACATTGATTTTGACCCCCCTTCCCCAGTTATGCCGCGCAACGCGACTCAAACCCGAGAGACACAACGGCGGCCCCCCCGAGCACTGATCGACTTCTGATACGATACGGGTAGGGTGGTTAGGTTCGCTCTCTGGCATTTTTCTGCTTTTCTTCCTCATGGTCCGTTCCAATCCATCTCATCTTTGGACTTTCATCTCTCCTCTCGTTGACATCTCTCTCAAACGCCTTCTACCGCATACGATCCTGAACCGAGACGCTCCCCTGCCCGATACCTTCCCATCCAGAACATCAAGCATTTCAGCCAGCCATGTCGTACCAGCAGCAGTATGTTTGTGCTTGTTCCCTGACCCCTAGCTTCTTCTCCTGCCTTAGTTGGCGATCCACCAATCCCCGTTCTTTCGCGCATGCGCTTCGAACTCGTTCCCAACAAACGCCCCCTCGAACAGTCATGCCATACTCCTCTGCTCGGATGGAGAGGAAGACTCGCCGCTGACGATCTTATCACAGAGGCTACTACGGAGCCCCCCCTCCTCAGGGCGGCTACCCTCCCCCTGAGGGCTACCAGCAGGGCTACCCTCCTCCCGGCCAGCCCGTAAGTTTTCTTGATTGCATACCGATCACGGCAGTTCATTGACCACTTGTCTGTCCTGCAGATGTATTACCCCCCTCAGGGCCACGCTCCCCCGCCACCTCCTCCCCAGCAGGAGGAGAAGAGCCACGGCTGCCTCTACACCTGGTAATCCTCCGAACGAAGTTTCAATCCGGATCAAACACTGACTTGCCTCAGTATTGCCACGCTCTGCTGCTGCTGGCTCTGCGGCGAAACGTGCTCTTGCTGTCTAGACTGTCTTGATTGCTGCGACTGCTGTTAAACCCCAGGATTGAAACTACAGCGAACTTTTGACGGCCGATCTGTGTGAGGACAGCTGAGACTGACTAATTCCCTTTTTATTTCAACTTTTTGTGTTGCGGGACACAACGGACGGAGAGCTGCACAATGCGCTGGGGCCAAGAAGGAGCAAAGCAATACTTGGTCGATTGCTGCTCCGATTCTGATATCCTGCTGAACACTGTTCAAACATGGCAACTGAGGCGTTTTTTCGCATCAACATTAAGTCGGATCACTTACAACTACCGACACTCGACGACTCTCTGTCAAATATAGTTTCCTTGCGTATAATTCCACCACTACTACGGTGGGAGACGGAGAATATAGGACGAATCAACCATAATCACGTGCGGTCAAGGTTTTGTTGTGAGAACAAAAGATGAAAGGGATGACCATGGCTCCGGCTGACACCTGTCGAAGTCAGTGCGGCAAGGAGATTTGTTGCCGACGACGAATTGCTTTCTCCTGCCCGTTCCAGCGTTTCCTCATTTCTTAGGCGCCATGAGCTGAACAAATTCATGATCTGCGAATGGAGGGTCAGCAGCCATCTTTCGAAGGCAAAGGCCATGGCGAAACTTACAGTCGATGGAGCCGTTGCCATCAAGGTCGGCATGCTTGACCATTTCGTCGATCTCGTCATCGGTATGCTTCTGGCCCAGCGAGATGAGCACGGAGCGCAGCTCGCTGGAGGAGACAGAACCGCTTCCATCCTTGTCGAAGACTTCAAAAGCTGCGACGAGTTCGTTTTCCGTACTGCCGACGGGGCGGGCTGGAGCAGCCATGATCTCAAGGAATTCTGGCGCAGGAGGCACATGTTAGATGAGACATGGCGAGATCAAGATGAGGAAGCTGACCGTCAAAATCGATACGGCCGTCACCGTCCGTGTCAATCTCCTTGATCATCTCCTTAACCTCTTCAAGGCTTGGCTTAAGACCGAGCGACTTCATCGCAATCTGAAGCTCGCTCGGGCTGATGTCGCCTGAAAGCGTCATGTTTTGTTAGTGTACATGAATACTGCTGTACATGTGACTGGCGCCAGCTAAAGCAGGGACCGTTGCAACGTTGCGAGGCTGGGACATGGTGACTAGTGTGGGACGGCATACCTGTGCCATCGCGATCCTAGGTGGGTGGGCTCATGTCAGCTTGGAGGGAAAGCTAACTCAAGAAATCTGCACTACTACATACGAAGATCTTGAAGACCTCTTTGAGGTCGGTGTATTGCTCTTGGGTGAGGTTAGTGACGGCGGTGGAAGGCTATGAACAAGCGGGGTTAGCAACGTGGTGAGCTTCGGCGCTTGGGACAGCTGGGCGCGGGGCAAGGAGGGGGCAAGGGGCGCACGCGCGCGCGCGCGGAGGCGGCAGTCGGGCGGCAGACACGAACCATGATTTCCCGTGGATGACAACGAGCGGCGCTTGGGACAAGGATGGAGACGGGCTTCCAGAGTGCAGTGTATTGTCTGGAGTTGGCGGGATCCGACCTGGGAGGGATAAATCGTGCAGGATCAATTGGGTATGGTATGGTGTGGGTGTGGCCTGGTTTGGTTGTTGTTGGAGGACAGCTGAGCCGCGCGATTTCTCCGTAGGCTTAGCGTCGAGATGCTGGGGGGAGGTCCCATCCCGCTCGCCCCTCCCGCCGCTCCCTTCTCTCGTAGCCCCTCACTCCAATGCGATGCGCGAGCTTTGCCCGTCGTTGCAGGCTTGTGATAGGCAGGCTGGCGGCGGTGCCCAATCCCAACTCTTCCTTCACCACTCAGCCCAGCCCTATGTGCAACCCGCTGGCCGAAGGATGGCGGCATGGGGGCAGATAAGTCCGATGCGGCGGCGATTCTCAGACCGGAGTGGTGGTGCATGTATCCTCAAAACTATGTGTTCGTGCCGAGGAAAGGCTGGCAAATGGAGACATTCTGGACAATTGTGGGATCGCGCTTGCATGCAGGCATACGCGGCCTCACCACCACAAAGGTCCAGACAGTTTCGAGACGGTCCTCCTCGTGATGATTCCCGGCCCGCCACAGAATCGCAATCTGATGAGAGCGGTAGGCTGCCTCTGATCTCACCAGATGGGGCAAGTAACTTTGCTTGAAAGCACCCCCCCTCGGCCAACCTCCGTTCGGGCTGAAATTTGAACCCAGGGGGAGGGGGAACGCCTCGTCTAGGTTTGGCTTGTCAGGTGTAACTGACCCGAAGTGCGCCTTGCCAGCACAGTCGCCCGCTCCTTCCATCCCACGCCCATTCTAAGGTACTTTGCCTTGTTGGTAGCTACCTAAGCTTGCTAAGGTACCTAGGCACCTACGGCCAGCCAGGCGGACGACCCCTCCAAGGGTCCTGGCCCCCGAATCCCTGCCCGACGTTCCGTTGCCCTTGCCCACGCCGGTCGCAGCTCTTTCCCACGCCAGCTCAGCGCGCGCCAGTTCCAGTTCCAGGTCCAGGCCCCCGCATCCTCGACGGAGGGGTACGACAGCTCTGTTGCGCTGTTGCTTGTCAGACGACGGGAGCCCCCCTGCCTCATCACCATTCCACCCCTCCCAGGCCTCCGACTCTCCCGTCTACGACCCCTCCTATCATCACCAGGACAATCTCCTCGAACAAACCTTGACATCCCCCTTTCCTGCTGCTTTGCCCCTCACTCACGCCGCCTTGCTTGTGTCTAGGAAGCTTGTTTGACTAGGACTTGGCAGACACTTGTGCATCCCAGCCAGCAAGCTCTCAGCCACCTAGCTCTCGGCCACCTAGCTCCCCTCCTTCTCGTGCCGCGCGCCTCGTCTCCGCCGCTCCACCTCACACTGGACACATCACCTCTGGTATCACAACACGTGAGTTCCGACCACCCATCCAGCACCTGGCCAGATTGATCCTGGACACGCCTATCCCAAAGATCGGCGTCCATCAAAGCAGGCCCCTCAACCTACAGTGCTCATCTCGCGAGACAGCAGTGAAGCCCTTCGGAACTCACATAACGGCGTCCCACCAACAGCACTCGTTCACACACCTACATCATGTCCTACGGGTATCCTGGCCAGGGAGGCTACGGCGCCAACCACGGCGGTTACGGTGGCGGCGGAGGCTATGATGCACCTCCCGGCCCGCCGCCTCCCCGCCGCTACCACCAAGATGAGTACGACGCTCCTTCGGGGCCACCGCCTTCCCGTCCCAGCTATGGCCGGGACGACTATGGTGCTCCGCCAGGACCCCCGCCACCTCAGAGTTATGGCGGACGCGATTACCACCGTCCGCCCCCCGGCCCACCTCCTCCTGAAGCGAACTATGCTGCTCCTCCCGGGCCGCCACCCTCGAGCGGGGACTACCGTCCTCCCTCTGGTCCTCCCGGCGGGCGAAATTACGGATATGGCCAGGCGCCCCCTGATGCCTACCCAGACCGCGCCTACACTCGCCAGTACAGCCCGCCCAACTACCCTCCTCCCTCGGGTCTCGATGTCTACGGCTATCCTGTGAACAGGCCCGACAGCAACAGGCCTCGTAGGTCGAGTTCTCCCAGCAACCCATCATGTCCCTACTGACTTTGTCCAGACATGCCTACCGTCAACTCCAACTCATACCTACATGGCAACCGGTCAGCCCCGCCACCTCCGCCGTCTGGTATCCAGCAGTTCGGCCACGGTGCACCAGAGGGCTATGGCTTCCAGTACTCTACCTGCACGGGTAAAAGGAAGGCTCTGCTCATCGGCATCAACTACTTCAACCAGGACGGTGAGCTGCGAGGCTGCATCAATGATGTGAAGAACATCTCGGCATTCCTCACTGAGCGCTACGGCTACAAGAAGGAGGATATGGTGATCCTCACAGATGACCAGACTAACCCTGTTGGCCAGCCTACCAAGGACAACATACTGCGGGCTATGCACTGGCTCGTCCAGGGCGCGCAGCCCAACGATTCCCTGTTCTTCCACTACTCAGGTAGGGCTTCGCCACGGAGATTACGAACCCGCCGACACTGGCTAACGCGGCATAGGTCATGGCGGCTACACCGAAGATTTGGACGGTGATGAGGATGATGGCGTTGACGAGGTTATCTACCCTGTCGACCATAAGGAGGCCGGCCACATTGTTGACGACGAGATGCATCGGATCATGGTGAAGCCGCTCTTGCCCGGTGTGCGTCTGACCGCCATCTTCGACTCATGCCACTCCGGTACTGCTCTCGACCTGCCCTATGTGTACTCTACCAAGGGAGTCCTGAAGGAGCCTAATCTGGCCAAGGAAGCAGGACAGGGCCTGCTGAGCGCTGTGACGGCGTATGCTAGCGGCAACATGAGTGGAGTGTTCAGCTCGTTGATGGACTTTGGTAAGAAGGCCATGAATGGTGACGATGCGTACGAGCAAACAAAGCAGACTCGCACATCGCCTGCCGATGTCATCATGTGGTCCGGCAGCAAGGATGATCAGACTTCGTGAGTGTACTTCTCCTTCCAAGGAGACTCTTCTCAGGGCCGGGTTTGTACTGACAACCAGCACAGCGCCGACGCGACGATCGCCAACAAGGCCACTGGCGCCATGTCACACGCCTTCATTTCCGCCCTCAAAGCCAACCCGCAGCAAAGCTACGTTGAGCTGCTCAACAGCATCAGAGAGATCCTAGAGGGCTCGTACAGTCAGCTGCCGCAGCTTTCGAGCAGTCACCCTATGGGTACGTTATTTCGAAGTGTCATTTGCCGTTTCCTTCATACTAACCCTATGCGCCAGACACGAACCTTTTGTTCGTTATGTAAGCGCCCTTTATATAGCCTGCCAGGGGGGTGGGCGACAGTCGGTGATCAATTGCTCTGGGGCTTGGCCGTATGTGGGTGGATGACGATGGGTAGGTAGAAAAGAGTCGTGAAGAATTCCAAGACAAGTTCATTGCAGTTGCTTGTGCGTAATGATGTATGCAACTTGAACGGAGGGGTAAATGTGACACCAATATCTTATGTCATGTACCCTTGGCCGTTGTATTGAAACCAACAGAGCGGTACATCAAAACGACATGTTCATGTGAAACCGATATATATGGGGCTCTCAAGTTCATGTGCGAGACTGCATGATCTGGCCCAGGTGCAGAGTCTAGACATCACGGGTATCGGGAGGAAGCGCTCTTGTGAGGAGAATTGCAAACATTATGATTAAAGATTTCGTCTTATGATAGAACAATTCCACGAATTGCAGCGGCGTCTAGGCCCGACGCGTCGTGTTCTCCCAGTAGTCCAAAGGCTGCCCCAGCACAGTGCACTTGTCGGCCTCTCCAAAGGGAGCCATGTAGCTGTCTGCCTCGAGGATCATCCACTCGGGCGCGTCCGGATCGACCTCGCTCCACTCGCCGCTCTTCTTCACCCCGGCCAGCGTCGAGTTGTACCCCCTAGCAGCAAGGAACGACTCGGCCGGGTTCGGGTCCCCGCTCCTGACGAAGGACGCCCAGTAGTCCAGCACAAGGCGGCTGAAGTCCTGGTCGCGGCCATCGCGGTCGCCGAGGCCCACGCGCCTGTAGTTGCCAAACATGGTCAGCTGCGAGCCGCCGTGGCAGCGGAAGTACTCCTGGCTCGGGTCGCCGAGCGGGTGCCCCGGCGTGACGGCGGCGCTGCACTCGTTTGTTGTGTACGTCGTCGGGCTGTAGGTGCGGTAAAAGTTAAAGGCGTACGTCTTGGCGAAGGCGCCGTTCTTGGTGCCCGCGTAGGCCGTGGCGCGGTCGAGGCACGTGAACCAGTTGAGCGTCAGGATCTCCGTCGTGGCGTTGAACAGTTGCTCGCCCGTCGAGGAGGGGTCCACGCCCCACAGCGGCAGGTTGGCGAGGATGGCGTCTGGATCGATGCCAAGGACGCTGCGGGCGGCGTACAGAAGGCCCGTCCAGGTTGGGAAGTCGAGCGTCGACCAGTCAATTTGTAGCAGCGGAATGAAGATGGCAGCCTCGTCGCGCGTGACGCCGGTTAGGACGGGAACATCCCTCGCGTAGCGGGGGCCGGATCCGTCGAGGGCGAGGAACGGCGCGCGGAGGATCTTGCCGTCAATGACGGGGGCGTTCGCCGTCACAGGAAGGTTCGCCAGCTGCTGGGCCGGCACGTTGCGGAGGCAGGCCACCTCGTCCTTGGTGCCGTTGCAGCTGACGGCTTCCAAGATAGGCTGTGTGAAGGTCTTGTAGGATTCGTCCACGGTGGCAAACTTTGCAGTAACCTGGAAAATTCCACCTTGGCCATCTGACTGCAAGAGAGCGCCGGCATATAGGCCGCGGGCTTCGGGGGACGTGAGAAGGTTGCGGACGGACATGGCGCCCGCCGACTCGCCCGAGATGGTCACCCGATCGGGATCGCCACCAAAGGCGGCGATGTTCTCAGCGACCCATTTCAGAGCACTGATCTGGTCGCCCAGGGCAACGTTTCCCTTGTGAATGCCGTCGTTGAACGCAATCATGCCAGTGTTGCCGAGTCTGTAGTTGATCGACACGGCAACGATATCGCCTCGCGATGCAATGTTGGTGAGATCGAGGTTTCCATTCTTGCCCGAGCCTTCGACGTAACCTCCTCCATGGATGTAGACCAACACGGGCTTCAACGCCGGCTTGGCCTGGGTTCTCCCGCCAGTCGACGCAGGCAGAGATGGAGTCCAGATATTCAGGAAAAGGCAGTCGTCGCTCGACCCGGGGGCATTATGCTGGAGGCAGTCGGCTCCTGCTGTCAGGGCCGAGACGGAACCCTTCGGGCGAAGCGTGGTCGAGTAATCGAACCTCTGCGGCATCGGCGCGTATCTGACACCGCGAAACTTCCATGTGTAGAAGTCTCGATATCCGGTAAACTGCGCTTCCCCGACCTTTTGGGTGACTTGGAAGCTCGATGATGTATCGTCAGCCGTGGCACTCGATACCGGCGCGTTCTGGCTACAAAGCACAGGCAGACGATCAGAGCACTTTTGACGGTGCAGTGAGCCGTCGGTGCCAATTGCACGACATTTGCAGCCGTCTCCGCTTGCGATCCAGAACTTGGCGTTCGAAGGGTAGTTCTTCTGATAGACTTCATATGCCAGGGATGTCTTGAGGCTGGCGAAGGACAACTCTTCGCCCTCGCCAGACCAGAGAGCCTCGCTGAGTTGACCGCATGCCTTCAAAGCAGATGCTTGGTCCTGAACACGGTCGATCAGGACGGCACCCGACCCTGGCGAGGGCTCATCTGTGACATGTCAGGCCTGCATCGTCGATTTCAATCTCTAGGACCGCGTTGCATAGACTTACTCTCCAGGTCGTTGTGTGCGAGAATGGTGAGTCTACCTCGCGCGGACCCTGCCTTCGACGGCGGCTCCGCGGCCACAGCATGTCTCAAGGCGAGACCGAACACAAATGCGTTGAGCTTGACCATTTTCGTGTCGAGCTTCCCAAGAGTCAATAAGGCAGAAGGAATGCGATGCAGGAAAACATGCTGCTGCTGCTCCAGACAGAGCTCGGGCATGTGGCATGTGGCAAGCTACATATATACGGCGCGCATGTCAATTTTCGGACCCAGGCAGCTGACGATCAGCCTGCGAACGCCGAACTTAGCTTGAGGCCTTCGGATCCCGTTACCGTAGCGCTGGCGAGCATCGTGAGGCACAGCGCCACATGGCGGAGGCACAGCGGTTGCCGAATCCCGCACTTCTGGCTCGGTCGGGTGAAGCGTAGGAACTGGAGTGCAGGGCTTCCCCCAGCTCGAACAAAAGTTCCAGTGGGCCTGTTCCTGAGCACGAAGGCCTGTCTTCGTAGCATAGCACTACTGGCTGGATTTCGTCAGGCTCGTGGCCTGCCCTTTCAGTCGGCACCGGAGTCTGGGCCGTTTGCCATTCAGCCTATTGTGCTCAGTCAGTCAGGTGCCATGAAAGCGATTTGGCGGAAGACGAGTTGCCAAGGCAGCTTTCGCATTCGGCGTTTCTCGCATTCGGGATGCCCCTCGCTTTGTCTTCTAACGCAATTCATGAACGTGCTTACTTCTTTTCGTCATTCGCGACTGATTCATCGGTCATCGATGCCGTTCGCCCGCATGAAGCCTGCGAGTGTGAAGAGGTCCGACGGCAACCAGTCAGATGTCTTCAAGAAGGGGCACAGACGGTTGCGAAGCCACAAGATGGCATCTCATGGATCATTCGACAGGCGGAAGGTGACCTGCAGAGGTTTCTAATAACGCTGCTCAGGATGGATCATCAATTTCGTTAAGTAGTGCCTCCGTTCATCTGGGCAAGTTGCAAGTTCGCCTTCGCGCTGCTTCCTCTTAGCCTATTTGGCTTGAATAGTTGTATCCTCGAGATGCGGAATCTCAGTATCTACAGCGTCTGCGGATCTGACAGCTCGTGAGCGGCGTCGTATTCTCAACGTACGATCGCACTCAAGAAGTTGAAGATGCTGTCGCATATTTCTTGGTGTCGCAGTAAAAGAAAGAAGCACTTCTTAGGCATCCGAAGGATGTCACGAGCTTCCAAGACCTGGGTTTTTTTAATGTAGTCCAAGTACCACACGGTCTCACAATAGTGCAATGTGCTGAGGATGTTTCTCATTGCTCACCTGTCCTTTGGGACGCCTCCTAAGCTGAGGACCCTACTTTATATCGCGATATCCCAGTCTCAATGACCACGAAGAGACACCAATCCTCACAACTCGAGCGTGTGGAATGCTGCTTGTATTGTGACTCCGCTCGGGGTGTTGGCATTGCCTTGCCTCAGCACAGAAGGACATGTGAGTCCAGATGGACATACGGCTTATCGATAAGGCGATCAGGGTGAGGTTCCTGACGAACGACAGTAAGGTACGTACCTGGTACTCCTCCCCTCCCCTCCTCCCTCGTACGAAAGCGGGGTGGCAAGCTGGAAAAGGGTCCAGGCGGTGTGGGCGCGGCCTTTGGCAGTATTTTTTTTCTGCCTAACGAAACGAGACAGAAGCGGAAAACAGCCTGGGCTTTTGACCGACTCGCGCGATCCTGCTTTTCCTTCTCTATCTGCACCTGCAAATCGCTTCCGTTGCGACTCTCTGTTCCTCCCTTCTTTCAACCCGCCCGCCCTTCTCGAGTCCGTTCAAATTTTGTCCCCCTCTTGTCGCACACGCACTCAACACACATATCATCATGGCTGCCGAGAGAATGGAGGTCGATCCCGAGACCAAGCTCAAGAGCATGGAGCACTCTGAGCAGCACTACTTCAAGAGGTATGTTTTTCTCGACCGCATCGCCGCCAGAGAAACTCTGCTGACACCTTTTCCAGTTACGACCACCATGGTATGTCAATCGAGGCTTCACGACCACACCGTTGCAGATGGACTAATATGGCTACTACCTAAAAGGCATTCACGAGGAGATGCTGGTATGCACCCATGCGACTTACCCCTCCTTTTCGCCATGTCACTGACGATGACCCTCTGTACAGAAAGACGAGGTTCGCACCCGCTCTTACATGAACGCTATCGTTCAGAACAAGCACCTTTTCAAGGACAAGGTCGTCCTTGACGTTGGCTGCGGCACTGCCATTCTGTCCATGTAAGTTTGTGCCTACTCGATCGACCCCGCGCTCCCTGACCACACCCCATTAAAACCATCACCACGCAACATTTTTGCGACAAAGCTCTGACGAGAAATCTCACCACCAGGTTCGCCGCCAAGGCCGGCGCCAAGCACGTCATTGGTGTTGACATGTCGACCATTATCCACAAGGCTCGCGAGATCGTTGAGGTCAACGGCCTCTCTGACAAGATTACCCTCATCCAGGGCAAGATGGAGGAGGTCCAGCTCCCCTT